CCACGGATAGTTTTCGTATAATTTAACGTTTAAAAAAAATATTTATTTCGGATAAAATACATATAGCCTAGATCCCTCTGGCATTGCTAACTATTTATTCGTAAAGTTTCAAAAGTTAGGTATAAATACATGTGCCAATTATTACTTAGTAATATTATAATTTCTTTGCCGTAAATGATACATTTCTTAAAATAAAAGTCAAAGTAGGTATGGATAAAATAATTAAACACGCTGCAAAAGAATTTCAATATAATTTTCTTTGTAATCATTATCAAAATTTATAGTACCTACTAATACTTAATGTATTAACTCTCACAACTTGGTTTATAATATATAGTAAAAATAAAATAGTTCAGAAACAAAAATATTTAATAAATTATATTCATAATGTGTTGACATATAAAACATCTTTGGTGTTTAAGGATAAATTATGCTTATTTTTTTTAACAGATAGAGCCAAATATAAAACAAAATTAGCATTACGCAAATAAAAGTTGGGGCTTAAAAAATACTCAGTTTTTAAGGTCGAGCCTAGCTCCTCGATTGTTATTCAAATTGTAACATAACAACATCAATCATCAATTGTAACATAACACAACAACAATCAACATGACTAAATTGTATGCATTAGCTTGTTACCGTAGACAGTTTCTCTGTCTACGCTTGCTACATATTTATTTATATATTGTATGCATTTTTAATTTACTACCTATAATACTCACTTTGACTGTCATTATATATTATCTGAGGCCTTACAATAACATGCTATTGTTTTTATTAGTTCGTGAATAACATGTTAAATAATAAAGTATATTATGTTGTATCTTACCGTTTAAAATCGCAGATAGCTCTGATGGTTGTTCCGAAGAGCTTAGAAGGTCTTCATAAACTAGCGGATGTTTTTGCTTCAAATGCGTCTTTAAGTTCGTTATAGTAGTTTTATATGAAAGTAATTTAGTGCAATATTGACATGTAGCAGTCTTGCTGCCGTCGTCATTTTTTTCGAAGTAATTCCATATTCTAGCTCTCGCTGATCTTGACATCGTGTGATTATAAAGTATCGTATTAACACAACAGCACAATCCAAAATAATCTTAAGTCAGAAAACAACACTGTATTACAACTAATATACTATTTTTCGCAGATAAGCGCGATATAACCTTTCACGGAAGGTTAATTTTATTAGTACAATATAGCCGTATAGCGTGACGCGATATTATACAGCATTAAGCAGCCTAGTTTTTTTTATTTTCTACTATTGACTCATACGATTAGTCTTTTTGCCAGTGTCAAGTAATGAACGCTTATAATCTTACGCGTACAAGATGTCGCTAGTTGAGACTGACGTGATTTTATCCCGGAAATGATCACGCGATAATCATAGAAAAAGTCAGCTTTGAAAAGAACTATTTTATTATCAGCATAGAGAATGATATTGTTCTTTAAGATGTTTTACGTAAACGTTAACACGTGCGTCAGGAATGCAGATCCGTTCGACGCGAGCGCTCCGAAGAAGTTTGCTTAGAATTATTTAATACAGAAGGAGAAGACTCTTTATGATGAGCATACCAACAGAAAGTGGACCTGGTATAGTCCCGACTCTTCGGCAAAAAAATCATAATGACGACCAAACGCCAACAGTTTCCCGATGTTTTAGTAATCGCGAGAGAGAAAACTTGTAGAGAACACCAAATGGTGAAAGGCACCTGAAATTTTAAGTGAGAGTGAGATGTTATGAGTACAAATGTACACACCATGGTTGGACGAAGACGTAATTTTAAGTAACGATTCAAGAACTATGTTGAAATAGATATCATCTGAATCTAATCCGATCATATCCGGGACATCAGTCTAAGCAAAGTTAAAATGACTGTTCAGCACATTAAAAACGGCAAGATCCCTTGTGGGGATAGATTTACAGCGCAGCTTATAAGAGTATTTTTCAAAATAATCGTACCTTTGCGAAATAAAGTATGTCACTAACATTTAAACATTATTTTAAAATGTGTAGGTAGTGGTCTTCCATTTTTTTCTTATCAATAAACTTAGCTTAGCACTTTATTAATTATCAAAACGATATTAGAATATTCTACTTCGTCCTACTTTTTTACAATTTCGTTATACAAGCTTAGTAACACTAATTGCTCGGTCGTGTATTCACTTTTTGAACGCATTCTGATCTTAATATACTAGTAACACTCGGCCATCTCTGACTGGTCAATCTTTAGCTGTACCTATGGTGTAGAGTAGAAGGAGAACCATCTTATAAGGAGCGAAGGTTGAAAAAGTGTCCTACTTTTTACTGTAAATAGAGGTTCCAAAACCTACCACAATAGCGCTGGCGTCTGAAAAACTACGATATGAAGATAGCTGTTATGAACGGAGTGAAGTCAGCTGAATTCAAATATTTCATGACTAGAGTAGTTAGTAAAACGCCAATATACAAAATCTCAACTATTTACGTAGTACAAAACCAAGCGGATTGATCGGTCCTTATTTATTTCTCCATCTTACTCTAAATACTTTTGGCGCTTCTTTTTTAATTTATCCTATGCTACTGCAGCGCCACCCTTATTGGACACGTTTTTAGGGACACTTTTCATATACAGAGATGGTCCTCCTTCTACTCTACACTCCATAGCTGTACCTGCCATATTGAATTTAAAAGAAAACAAGACTTGAAGCTTACGCCTTGTGCTTAAATAATATTCTAACAATTTAGTAACGGTTGACTTTTCTTGTGGGTATTTAAAAAAAATTATATATTTAATGCTTCATATGTTGAACAGACTGATATATCGTAACATATGTTTTCATTTAAACGATAAACTTGACGGTTTGATGTAAAAACTAATTTAACGTTACTTTTCACTAACAATTTCGTAACTTTTCGTTATGTTACGAAATTGTATAGTCTTAAGTAACGTATACACTGGTGTAGTAGTAGTGATAAGCATTACTAGGTAGGTGAGTAAATTAAGCCCTTTTGCACATTATAAGAAAATTTCTTGCGTCTTATGAGAAATTTAGTCGCATTGGTTGTTATATGAGACCACACATATTATAAGATTTTTTTCTTATGTCGCATCAGGCACGCGCACTCTAGTCATTTTGTCGGCTGCATGTTCGATGTCGCTCCTATACAAGACGTCTTGCTTAGACACGATGTCTACTCAACTATGTAAAAGATGAGTTGATGAAAATTAATGGGACAGAGGAAGAGTTACAGATTAAGAATGATAAAGAGCAGGATGCAATTCAGATTGGTGAGACAGATAAAGAGGTACTAGCAAATAAGGGTAATAGAGGGGAAGAAATACAGATTTATGATTTACAGAAAGAGCCACAGATGAGTAATGAAGGAAAGGGAACAAAGCGGTAATACTCTGATACTGCGGAAAATGAAATATTTAATATAGAAGATACTGTAATATTACGAAATTATATAGGACATTCTTGGAAATATTATGTTGGCATAATTGAACATATCAATGTAGCAGAAACATTATACACAATATCTTTTTTTTAAACTATCGGTAAAAAAGACAAATTAAAGTTCCGTAAAACAATCCGTGAGGAAAAGGACATGGTACTCAAAGATTTAATTGTAAAACATATTAAAATGCTTCAAATATCGGAAAACTCCGTTGAATATGTATTATATTGCGACGAAGATCTGATTTATTTTTAATAATATTAAGTATAAAATTGGATAAATTGAAATTAAAAGAGTATAATTAATTAAGTTGGTAGTCATAATTCACACACATACACATAATGTCACTTGACCACAAACTTACAACATAATTCTAGAAGTATTTATCACAACCCTTTTTTACTATATGTAGTAGGGTAATCAGTAATTCGGAATAGTTCAATAGTCAGTGTACACATGGCTTAATAGTAACAATTTAGTAACAATTACAACGATTTCGTTACTTTTTTCGTAACTACAATTTCGATACGTACAATTATTTTGAAAAACACTTATAAATGTGGTTGAAACCGGTACTTGAAGTCCTTCAAAGGTTTTTCGATTCCATTCTCCATGGTGCCACTATAGAGACCACTGTACTTTTGGCTATCCCGAAGGAGTGAAGCTGAAATGCAGTAGTCTAATTCTTAAAAAAGGGGAACAACGCTTTATTGAAGCACTAATAACCGAAAATTTGTCGCTATTGTGTTATTTTATCGTGAATAAACCATGACTACTCCGCTTCCAGCAAGTTTAGGTAGAAAAAAAATTGTATGTGTAATTATGTACTCACGTAGGAAGTTATACTTCTTTAGCGTAACAAAAGAAAACATGAAAGTAACTAAAAAAAAAAAACAAAAGAAACTATGAGTTTGATGTTTACACTGGTAAAACTGGAAATTCTGTAGAAGGGCTATGATCTAATGTGGTAAAGAGATAGACTGAAAAAATTATAGCTAAAGAATAAAAGAATGTGCATGTCACATTCGACAACTTCTTTGTGATTATAAAAAATTGGAAAAATGGCATTAATGCCACTGGTACAGTGCGCAGACATAAAGCTGACATGCCGCTTCTTATAAAAGGTCCAAGGGGTAAGAAATTGAACTTGCAGAAGGGCGAGTTCAAGTGGAGTCAAGGAGAATGTTTGTTTAGTTGTATGGCAAGATAACAAAGAAGTGCTTTTGATCTCCAACGCTTTCCACCCGAAAGTTGGTCAAACCACAATAACAAGAACCCAGAAAGATTGTCCAAAATCCCGGTAAAATGCCCCCTCGTCGTCAAAGAATACACGCAGAGAATGGGTGAGGTAGATAGATTAGATCAACTGACGGGCACCTACACTGTCGGGTGAAGGAGCAAGAAGTGGTGGCTCCGAATATTTTACTTTTTGATAGACGTCTACATAACCAATGCGTTTATTCTGAGCAATAAAAATGGCATAAAACTGTCGCATTTCGAAGCTCGGGTAGCATTAGCAAGAGGACTTGGGGGTGGCTACTGTAGCCGAAAAAGGCGTTCCATCATGGCTGATAATATAGTCAGGAAGAAAGTTGGCCTCGCAGATACAACGCGCCAAAAAGTTTCTCATATAGTTACCGAAGAGCGGCGGTACACAAATGTGGAAGACCACTTGCCATGCCCACTCTCAATTTACAAACGATGCCGCCTTTGTAGCACGAAAGTGAACGACAAGCGTTTAAAAATAATGGGCCAAAAGTGCGAAGTACCTCTGTGCATTGTTCCTTGTTTTTATGCTTTTCATCAGAGGCAGCAGCACTAGCATATTTGTAGTGCTGTTTTTATGTTCTTGTTAATAATTTCATTGTTTGTACTTTTATATAATAGTCTGTATAATTCCAAAACTGTTATTATTATTACAAACAAATACTACACTAATATATAGTAAATTTTTATGGAGTGGGACGGGCAAAGGGAACATATTTACCACCATATAAATAATATATAAAAAAAAAATAAGTAAATTTTGATTTTTACCTTATTAAGCTGGGTAAAACCAATATTAGTTTTATTTTTCCACTGTCAGATCGTTGTGCCCGCGTTATAAGATTTAAACACTATTTTCAATAAAATGGAAATTTAAAAGAAAATATTTTTTAATGCCATAATAGATATCACATCCTAAAAGAAATTTTAATGACACTTGATAAAGTTAGTTCGATATTTATAACAGAATTTTACATGTTGTATTTGCAAAATTACTACTTAAGTATTTTTATAAAACGAATTCTTATGACGTATGAGTATGGTGGTGTTCACATCACACCATCGCCAATATTTCTGTACAATTTTCTTTCATATAGGAGCAACGATGACATACATACATAAGCTGCATGTAGGTATAGGTATGTACATTTACTGTCCTCGCGAAGTATGTTTAAAGGCTAACCACGTGACGGTCTGTTATTAACCGATGTACAAGTTTTTGTTATTGTAAACATTAGGTAAGTATATAAAAGTGATTTTTCTTATAATTTAAGCAGTCAAACGTTCGGTACACTACTTTCTTATAATTTATAATATTCCGAAGTGTGTGTAATTAAATTAAATTAGTTTTGCAGCAGTAAAAGGGGTCGTTTTAAAAACACCCAAGGCGAGCCATTCTAGCAATTTAGCAAGTCGTTCGACCTACATATAAAGAAGTAAATACATATTCCAAGAACCAAAAAAATATATTTACTTAAATATCAGAGTTACGTACATCATATCTATCAGAACATATTAATTGCTTAGTGTTAAGACGTTATGTATAATAAGGGCAGTGAGATTATTTTGTATAAGTTAAATGTAAATTTTGTCAAGAACTACCATTACTATGTACTTAGATCATTTTACGATCCAAAATGTCGGATATTGTGCACTTTATAGAAATAGTCTAATAATTTACAGTTTCTTATTAAAAGGCATAACTCTATACTATTATATAGTTGAAATAAAAGAACCAACAGAACATAGCATTTATTAGGTATAGATATTATATTTCACGATGAAGTTTTGACTTTGGTTGTCACCTGTGCACATACACATTGTGTTAGTGTGCGTAGGCTGCACAACACACTACACACTACACAGCACCAGAGCACACACGACACATCGCCCGCTCGCTAAACCGCTAGAAGAGCTCGTGGTCCGGCAACACGGTGATCTTGAGACGGTAGCGGGGCCAGTGCAGCGCGAGAGGAAGCTTCGGAGGCTGCGGCTCGCCCTCGCCCTCGGCCTCCGCTTCCGACTCCGAGTCTGCTAGCGCCAGGGAGGCCAGCGGCGCGACTCGCGGCGACATCTCGCGCACCAGCTGCTCGGGTATCAGCACCTGTTGAGTGTCGGGTTTAGGGTACTGATAACTGTGAGTGCACGAGAGTAGTGTACACAGGAGACAGTATGCTAGTACACTGCAGCCAGGGCCCCCGGCGCACATAGGTCGCGGCGAGGCTGGGCAGCGCCGCGGCGACGCCGCACGGCAGCAGCGTGGCGGCCGCGCCCGCCCAGCGCCACGTGATTTGCCGCCCGTGAGTTAAGCTAGAGTACACACGAGACAGTATACCTGCAGCCAGAGTCCGCGGCGCGCGTAGGGCGTGGCGAGGCTGGGCAGCGCCGCAGCGACGCCGCACGGCAGCAGCGTGGCGGCCGCGCCCGCCCAGCGCCACGTGAAGTGCCGCCCGTGAGCTAAGCGCCCGCTGCAACCGAACATATGTATACACGCTTATTTTGCAATAACCGCCCAAACAAGACAATTTCTTTTTGTATGGAGAATGGGCCCACGACAAATTGTGGCGTAACTTAATGAAACATGTCGATTTATTCCTTATAACCTATACTTTGCAAAAGTAATATTAGTTTTACCGTATCTAAAGGAAATACTGAAAAATTAACAACTAAAATATGATTATGATTTAGGCTTCAGTATAGAGTGTATTTCATTACGAGTGCGGAAAACCTGTCATTGCAAAGAGTTCTGACAAATGTCTACCCGAGCCGAGGCGCAGCCGAAGGTGAGGGGTGACAGTCGGAGCAAGTTGCAATGACGGTTCCGCACGTGTACTGACCAACTATTTTTAATACAGTTGCGAAAAAATGAAGCAATTTAATAAAATAATAAAAACACAATAAACTCAACTAACTAATATTTTATTTCTTATAAAAGTTATAATTCACATATACATTGAAATTGGTACAGTTTTTTATACTAACTGGGGAAGTTTTAGGTTGCATATTTTCTGTTTGAGACAAACTATTACTAATTTCGTATGATTGTTCATGTATATTTGTCAAAGGTGTTATACAATGGCGTTTACTAGTTGATGGAATTGGATCTGATGAATTATCATTAGCAACGAAGGTAAATAGACGAACGTTCTCTTCAGTATTGTCATGTGAAGGAGACGAACTGGACTTTAAAATTAATGGATTGTGTGTTTTTTTTTCCAGTTTCTAGTTTGTTGTTCAATGAATCTGCAATATAGCCTTCTGCAACTTTGTCTGACTTCCAACCTCCTAGTCGCTTTAAGGACGTCAAATTGGCTCCTGAATCTGCCAATAATGTAGCGGAGGTCCTCCTGAAGCTGTGCCCAGTATAATACTTAGCATCCGGCAGACCACGAAACGTAGCTATTTCTTTTGACATATTACCAAATTTGTTTATCCCGATTGCTTGAGCTGTACACTTCCCTTTTTGATAATTTCGGAAAAAAGTCGGTTTTTGCTTTTTGGGACGGCTGATTCATATATTTTTGCACTATTTTAAGAATATCTCCTTCAACAACAAAGCTTCTCGGTATCTTATTTTTTGTATTCGGAATCTTGATTAGTAGCATTTTTCCATGGGCTTCAATATCTTTTAAAGTAATATTGGCTAAATCCTCTCTGCGGCAAGATCCAACGACGCCAAAAATCAGCGCAACCTACAAAAAAAGGGATATGATTATTTTTTTAAATAATATATTGTCTGTATTTTGCGATTTCGTAAACTGAATACTAAAGAAAAATATAAGTATTTATTAATAAATTACCTTTGTGGCTAAATAACGATCATCGGGAGCTTCGTTCAAAAACCTTTCCACTTCACTCGATGTTAATATTTTCGACTTTTTAGTTATAAAACCGTCTGATTGTCGTTTTAAGAAAGCATTTAGTTTTGGGTATTCACTTATATCCACGTTGTTCCTTATTTTCAGCATACTTTTTATCATCGAAAACCTCGACCATAACGTAGAAGGTTTTAATTTTGCTGAAAGTTCGGAGAAGTATGCCAACATAACATTTTCTGAAAACCTATTTGCTTTTTTCTCTTCTCTCCACGCAATAAATTCGTCGTATGCATTGAGTTATATGTACTACGTACTAGAGAAGCCATTTCAAACAAAAACTGTGTCCTACTCTAAGTTTTCGCGCATGCGCGGGAGTGGTAGTCGCGCATGCGCGAATACTTTAATTTGATATAAAATAAGATATTAATATAAAATAAATATAAGAATTTAATATAAAATATCTTAATTTCATCTAAACAAACAGGTTATATTTCTAAATAAAATGTAATAATAATTATTTTATGGAATTCACAAATCTTTAATTTACGCAATATTTAGTTTGTAGGGATTGCACTACAGTTCAGTTGAACATAGTCAATGTTCGAAATGGCTTCTCTAGTACGTAGTACATATAACTCAATGGTCGTATGTAGATATGTAGCGACTTTTTGACTTCTCCGGTAAAATGTTCTCCGAAGCATTTTGTGCAATTATACTGAGTTCCGGTGGTGATAATTCAAATAAAATATCGTTGAAATTACTCATTTTGTGCAAAAAACAACTAAACTCGCAACTTTTTTGTTATCTTCACCGATTCTGGGTAGGCAAAGGGAACTATGCCCATACAGCCAAGTCTTCAGTAGAATTTTTTTATTGATATGAAATGAAAATGAAATTTAATGAAATGAAACCTAACCTAACTCATTGAATCAAATCATTAAATCTGATACTGAAACAAATTAGTAGCTTCTTTTTAGAAATATTTGCATTAATCATAAAAACTTCTATAAATTTTTTTAGTAAAATTGTTGTGAAAATTGTCTGTGTTACGTCAGCATGAATTTAACGCGAGAAAATTTTCATACAATGATTTTTTATGACTTTCAATGTCACTAAGTCAACAAGAAAGTTATGATAGACTTCGATTGGCCTTTCACGATAAAGCCTCATCTCGTGCCACCGTTTACAACTGGTTTTATGAGTTAAAACGTGGTCGTTCTAATCTCACCGATGATGGGTGGGACCAATGAGGGACGGCCGTCTACGGCGACGACTGAAGATAACATCAATGTTGTGCGGCGTATGATAGAGACTGACAAAAGAGTAACTAATCAGCAGATTTGGACAAGCTTAGGTATCGGTATGAGTCAAGTGCACAAAATCCTCCATGAACATTTAGCGGTCATTTAGTTTTGGGTTTGGTGGATACCTCATAATTTGACAGAGGCCCAAAAACGCCGTCGTGTTCATAGGTGTCGTGAAATGGTTCAAAGATTTAACGGAGGTGACTCAAATGCTGTGTTCGAAATACTTACGGATGACGAAAGCTGGATTTATTGTTATAATCCTAAAACTAAGAGACAGTCTGCTATCTGGGTGTTTCCTTCCGAGGAGCTGCCAACTAAAGTGAAGAGAGGTCGAAGCGTGTGAAAAAAAATGGTGGCCTCGTTCTTCGCAAGGACAGTTCATTACGCAACAATTGTTTCAGAGGATGGAAAAACAGTTACTGCAGAGTGGTACACTAACAATTGTTTACCACTTGTCTTGGAAAAAGTTCGGAAGAAACGACCTCGCAGTAGGATCCACCTTCACCGAGACAAAGCCTCGTCGCACACCGCCAAGCAAACAATCGAGTACTTGGCGACGTCAGATGTGGAATTACTGGGTCACCCGCCCTATAGCCACGACCTCGCAATTTTTATTTATTTCCGAAAATAAAAGAAAAACTTCGAGGAAAACGTTTTATGGACGCCGAGGAAGCAGTGGCTGCGTTTTAAAATGCCGGCGAAGAGACCCCTAAGGACAACGGGGCAAAGTGCTTTTCTCAGTGGTTCCATCGGATGCAGCGATGTATTGATGTGGTGGCGATATGCAATTTTGTCATTCTTTTGCATGTTTAGGTAACGGCGTACGCGCCGACGCGAGGTTTGTGTCGGTTGGGGTCGGAAATGCTCGGCTCCGTTAGAGCTGCTTTCGTGACAGTCCGGGCGCCTTCGGTTTTTACCGACAGTCTGCATTTAAACATCCTCGGCGCTAGACCCCACGCTCGCGCCGCCGGAATAACGGTTATTTTAAATCACGACTAACTTATTCTCGGCTTCCTATCTCAAGCACTTCTTACTTCTAATTAATTGTATCTTTTTATTAATTTGTTTTTATCTTTTTGGCTACGTGCTTGTAATTTTAAGAATAAAAAATAGAAGAATGAAATAGATTTTGGAAGAGTGAAGACGCTTTTATTTGCCTAGCAACTAAGCCTACAAGTGGTGACCCCGAGAACAACATAGCGTACAAAGTACATCAAAATGTGGCAAGATGCTAGCACAGATGCATAGAAAAGCAGCACTAGTGACAAGGAAGCGGTACTTTGCCGAGTAGGCATTAAGATGCCGCCATTTTGGCCCGAGAAACCGACTCTTTGGTTTGCACAGTTGGATTGCCAATTCGCATTAGCGAATATTACATCGGATGTCACAAAATATTATCATGTTATATCAGTGTTGGATCCAAAAATTCCTGCGGAAGTCGAAGATCTAATAATTAGACCACCGGCGAACGAGAAATAGGACACATTAAAATGTGAGTTGATTGCTAGACTATCTGATTCAAGAAGTGAGCAAATCAAACAGTTGCTCATGAATGAGGAATTGGGAGATCGCAAGCCAAGCCAGTTTTTGCGGCATATTCGCTGTTTAGCTGGATCAGGGTTCCCAGATGAGGTCCTGCGTACCTTATGGTCGAGTCGGCTACCCAGTTTGCTACAAACTATAGTGGCTATGGAAGATAACCTTCCACAAACCACAAACGTCAGCACAACAAGTAGCTACCACATCCACTTCATGCTCATCTGATGACCGCTGACCAAGAGGCTCGGTGAAATGTCGACAGCAAGAAGACGTCGCGACTTCCCGAAAAGGAGGTCGAAATCCAGCAGCCGGCGCCGCAGTCACTCGAGAAGTCGTTCTCGTGCTGATGACCAGCGATACTGCTGGTATCACTTCAACTGCGGCGAGAAAGCAGCTAAGTGTATAAAGCCTTGTAATTATTAAAAAAACTAGTTGGGCCGTCGATAGCTGCAACCGCTGATGAGTGTAAGTCGAACGCTAAGCATTTGTTTGTCACTCACGCTAAAAGTAAAGTGCAGTTTTTAGTCGACACTGGATCTGACTTGTGTGTTTACCCATTGAGCTTAGTGCGCATGCAGCGACGCAATAAAACTAATTATGAGCTTTTTGCTGCAAATAATACTGTAATCGATACATATCGTTGGTTAAGTTTATGTTTAGATTTAGGTTTAAGCGCATTTCCTTGGCGTTTTGTAATAGATAATGTGAGCAAGCCGATAATAGGTGTAGACTTTCTATCCTTCTATAACTTACTCGTGGACGTGCGTAATTCGCGATTAATTCATAATTGCATTTCGCTTACAT